GAGTCCATAGGTAGCTTTGGATAGTATGGACATTTTAATGATGTTAATTTTTCCAATCCATAAACACGGTATGTGCTTCCACTTATTTGTGTTTTGCTCAATTTCTTTCTTCAGTGTTGTACAGTTTTCTGAGTACAGGTCTTTTACCTCCATAGTTAAATTATGGTACCTTATTTTTGTTAATAAATTACAAAAGGTGAGAGGAAGGCTTAGCCTAAAATATTTTTGGACATCTATTGGACCCTATTACAGTCTACCTTTAACTGTCCTTATTCATATTCCTACCTACCCTTTGCTTTCCCTCACTTGAGACAAGGACCAAATTTTCTTCTTCTTTTTTCTCTCCCACAGTACTTAGTATTGTGATTGACATAGAGTTCATACCCAGTGCCTGTTTAGATGAATTTACAACTTTTCTTAAGGAAGAAAGGGCTCTAAGGTGAAAATGGATTTTCTCAGCTTTCAAACTTCGTTTCACATGACTAAGACATTTAAGAAGGTCAAATAAATACTATGCTGTTATCCCAAACATGGAGCATAGCGAAAGGTAAACTTTATCACTTTGTGAAGAAAAATATTGTTACTGATGTCGTTCCACCCTGAGCCTTATAAGTCTTGGACAGGGGGTAAGAGCTGGGCCTGGAAGTAACTCATCTGCTGAATTTTTCTCTGCCAGTTTCTAGACATAAAACTTTTAGCATCTCTTTTCAAAGAGAGATGCTATAAGAATTTTAAAATAATGGAAGCTTAGGTCGTAGAAGACTGTGTATAAATCTGATTTCAACTTAAAGAGTTCCTTCCCCCAGACTATGATACATGTATAAAAATGAAAATACATTAAAAAAATCAAAACTGAAAATGGAAATGCAAGTGTGATATTTTTTTTGCTCTGGGTGTCATTAAAATAGAATATATTTATTATTATTTGTCAACTATTTCCATTGACCTATTCTTTTTAAAATTCTCTTTTATAATACATGTATATCTTAATTTATATTCTTTGTGGTTATTGATTTTGTTCTGAACTGAAGCACATTTAGTGAAACACAAAGAATGCTGGCTCTGTGTGAACCTAAGCCTTACAAATTGGTGTATGCATCTTTCTATCAAAGCGATCGCCTGATATTCAAAGTGGCTAAATGCATGAGAGGGTACGGCTGGCAGACAGGCATTGAGACATTGTGGCTAAAAAAAATCCTAAACCAGGCCCTATTCTTTGAATTTAACATTACTGAACTTACATTTTATTAATAAAACAATATGTTATCAAAGTTTTGAGCATTTGCATGATATGTTCAGGGTTATATATTTTTTTATTTGTCTGGTGATTAGGGGAATAAGCAATAAGATATTCTTAAGATTTCCCTCAAGTTTTTTACCACTACCCCAGACATGAGAAAAGCCTAAACTAAAACATTCATTCATTTATTTAACAAACACTTATTAAGGGCCTATTATATGTCAGACACTGTTCTAGAAGTTAGATATATCTAGAAACTAGGTAAATCAGTAATCAAACCAAGATTCTTACCCTTATAGAGTTTACATTCTAGCAGTGGTGGTGGAGATGAAAAATGAGGAACTGATCGAAGAGAGAGTTTTAAAATAGAAATAGCAGGATCTTCGCATTCATTAAATGTTAAGATTGAAAAAATAGAAGGATTAAAAAATAACTGCAAAATTTCCTGGATTGGATGACTAGTTGGTTGCCAAAACAATTCACTAAGTAGAATACAGAGGAAGAAAAACAAATTTGGGGATTAAGATAACGTTTGCATCCAACTATTTTGCATTAAGGTCAGCAGCCCAGAGAGGTGCTCTGGAAACAGTTGGAAATACAGATCTTTGACATAAGTAAGGGCCCCAAAACTCAAGAGCTCAAGATATATATTTGATATACAGATATATACCTTGTCAACCTATGGTTGTTGGCACCAATTCAAATGTGCGCAGGAACCCCCAATTTGGGCTGCGGCTGAGAAAACAGTGCTGCGGTGGAACAGATTAGTTGTAATACAGCACGACTGTGAAAACAACAAGGCTTTAGAACAGCCCTCAGGCCAGGCCCCTCTCTAGCTCGACACAGCTCTGCTGTGTACCACTCTGCTCCGCTCTGCTCTGGCACATACTTCGAGCTCAGCTCAGCCAAAGGAAAGTGTGATCTTTCAACCACAGGGTAGCTGACTTATATGGACAGAAGTCCCGCCCCTGGTCCCTGATTGGCCCTTCCTCAAGCAGAAGAGGGCTCCGAATCCTCAGTTTGATTTGTCCAAAGCCATTGTCCTGATTGGTCAGAATACAGTCATTCTGATTGGTCAGAGCTGTGCAGCTCCAATTGGATGGAGAAAGTTTCAATATTATTTGTTGAAATAGGATTCCTGGAAACCGTTATAAGGGCTGGTTCAGTTGGTATAAACAGTGCAGGCAAGCAGTTCAACACAGAGGCAGGTAGGTTAGTGCAGAAGCAGTTTAGCACAGAGGCTTCTCTGTGAAGTGCAATTTATCTGAGAGGCCTCTGTGCAGAAATAGATGCTAGGCTCTGTTTTTAAAATTCAAGCCCAGTTAGCCACCAGGATCCCTTTTTAGCAGGTGTCTCTTTTTTCCCCCTCTGGGTTCAAAACATATGAATATATAGATATAGATACATCTCCCAATATACACACAGAAGAATGGAGAAAATTGGGGAGAAAATCCACAATGCAAAAAAATAAAACAATAAGACAAACACTTCCAGCCCTGTGGCTGCTCATGGTCTAGCAATGAGGACAGGCATCAAAAATGCAAGAAATTGAAAAGTACTCTTTTTTTTTAAATTGTTGACACTATTACAAATGCCCTCAACTTTTTCCTGCTTGGTCTGCCTCTTCCCATCTCTTACACCATCCTTCCTTCTGACGATTACCACACTGTTCTCTGTGTCCATGGGTCATGCATATAGGTTCTCTGGCTGATCCCTTCACCTTCTTTCTTCCAGTCCTCCCCACCTCCTCCCTTCTGTCAGCTGTCAGTCTCTTCCATGTATCCATGCCTTTGTTTCTACTTGGCTCATCAGTTTATTTTGTTTATTAGATTCCACATATAAGTGAGATCCTATGGTTAGTCTTTCTCTGACTGGCTTATCTCAGCAAAATACCCTCTAGGTCCACCCATGATGTAGCAAAAAGTAAGATTTCCTTCTTTTTATGGCTGAGTAGTATTCCATTGTGTAAATGTACCACCACTTTCTTATCCACTCATCTACTGATGGGCACTTGGGCTGCTTCCATATCTTGGCTATTGTAAATTGTGCTGCTATGAACACAGGGCTGCATATATTCTTTCAAACTGGTGTTTCAAGATTCTTAGGACATATTCTTAGCAGTGGAATAGCTGGGTCAAAGGCAGTTCCATATTTAATTTTTTGAGGAAATTCCATACTGTTTTCTACAGTGGCTGCACCAGCCTGCATTCCCACCCACAGTGCACTGGGGTTCACTTTTCTCCACATTCTAGCTAGCAGTTGTTGTTTGTTGATTTATTGATAGTAACCATTCTGGCAAGTGTAAAGTGCTCTCAATGTGGTTTTTATTTGCATCTCTCTGATAATTAGTGACATTGAGAATTTTTTTATATGTCTATTGGTCATCCATATGTCCTCTATGAAGAAGTGACAATTGAGGTCTTTTGCCCATTTTTTAATTGTGTTATTTTTCTTCCTGGTGTTGAGTTGTTAAAGTTCTTTACATATTTTGGAAATTAACCCCTTATCAGATGTATCATAGGCAAATATATCCTCCCATACAGTGGGATCTCTTTTTATCTTGTTGATGCTTTCCTTTGTTGTACAAAAGCTTTTGAGTTTGATTAAGTCCCATTTAAAAAATTTTTTGTTTCCCTTGCCCAAGAAGATATATCAGCAAAAGCATTGTTACAAGAGATGTTTGAGATTTTACCATCTAAATTTTCTTCTAACATTTTATGGTTTTGTTACATTTATGTCTTTTGTCCATTTTGAGTTTGTTCTTGTGCATCATGCAAGTTGGTGGTCGAGTTTTATTGTTTTTGCATGTACCTGTTCAATTTCCTCGACACCATTTATTGAAGAGACTGTCTATTGTGAATTGTTTGCTGCTTCCTCTTGTATCAAATATTAATTGATCATAATGTGTGGGTTTATTTCTGTGCTTCGTACTAACCCACTGATCTGTGTCTCTTCTTATGCCAGTAACAGACTGCTTTGATTACAATGGCTTTTTAACATAGTTTGATATCAAGTAGTGTGATACCTTAAATTTTGTTCTTCCTTTTTAAGATTGCTGAGGCTATTTGGGGTCTTTTGTGTTTCCGTATAAATTTTTGGAATATTTGTTGTAGATCTGTGAAATATGCCATTGACAATTTAATAAGAATTTCAATGAATCTATAGATTGTTTTGGGTAGTAGGGACATTTTAATGATGTTAATTCTTCAAATGCATGCACACTGTGTATGCTTCCACTTACTTGTGTCTTTCCTGATTTCTTTCTTCAACATTGTACAATATTCCAAGTACAGATCTTTTACCTTCTTGATTAAACTTATTCTTAGGTTCCGAAATGTATGTTTCATTTCAAATAGTTCATTACTGGTATATAAAATTTGCTCCTTTACCAAATTCATTTCTTAGATGGAGTTGTTCTTTTGGTGCAGTCTTTAGGTTTTTCTATGTATGATATCATGTCTTCTGCAAATAGTGACAGTTTTACTCCCTTTTAAAAAAGATTTTATTTATTTTTTTAGAGAGAAGGGAAGGGAGGGAGAAAGAGAGGGATAGAAACATCAATACGTGGTTGGCTCTCAAGCACCCCCCACTGGGGACCCGGCCGAAACCCAGGCATGCGCCCCAACCAGGAACTGAACCAGTGATCCTTTTGTTCACAGGCCCACACTCAATCCACTGAGCTACACCAGCCAGACTACTCCCTTTTTTCTAAGTTGATATCTTTGCTTTTTCACACTTGTGAAATAATAGAAACCTGTGGTCTTCCGGAAGTTTGTTTACTCCACATATGGTAAAATTCACCTTTACAAAACCATCTCAAGTAGAAATGATAGGGGAGAGATACTGCTTGGAAGAGGTAGCAGTTACAGCTTTCAGAAATATATAAATGCCAAATAATATCAGGAAGATAATATTTCTGGATTGTACATATATGTATGTATAGATACATCTACTTCTGTATTTAAAATAAAAATACAATATTATTTGATTACATAATAATAAGATACAACTTATGGAAGGGGAAGATTTATTCACTTGTATACATTCTCCATCTGGCTAAGGGAAAAAGCTAAGGAAAGCTTTATGTTACAAGGATTTACTCGTGTTTGGGATTTTTCCTGACACGTTTGCAGTCAGGGAAGAACAAGGTGAATGAAGGAAATGTGTACAAAAGGTGTACAAAGGAAATGGTAGTAGAACGCTGCTTCTTACATAGTGGAATTTTTGTCAAAGCTGAACATTTGCTAAGCACTGGACCACACTATCCTGACCTTCATCCATTGCTCAGGTAGGGCCTTTGCACCACCTTCTTAGCAGCATGGCCATATCATAAATCTAGGGCAGAGCTTCTCATTTTTCTATGGGGTACACTGAAAATTTGATATTACAAGATAGAGGTTAAAGGGCAATCCTCTACCAAAAAGCTTTCTCATTTTCTTCTCTGACCCTGTTTCTGGAGCAAATGTGGTTTTTTTAACCTAACGGGAACAGTCTCATATCAGAATGACATCCTGTTGGTAGGGGGGGAAATGCCAGCAGGGTAGGGTGACCCCAGAATTTGATAGGCTTTTTATCTTACAGTCAGAGAGGAAGAATAATAGAATGAACACTTATTTGAAATAGATGAGGAGTTCCAGCCTCAAAGGACCAAAGTCTTGCATCAGACTACTTGGTGGCAGGACCAGAAGTAATGTTTCTGTGGTCACTGCTACTGTTGCTACCTTGGCAATCAGTGTGTCACTAGGTGCCAGGAGAGGGGTTAGTGACTTCTTTTAATCACTCGCCTTATCCGCTTGCCAAGAGACAAGATTAGAGAGGTAGGTTGAAGTTAACAATTGATCCCTAAGAGGAATCTCATTGTCTATGGGGAATGAAGAGACTTCAGAAAAAAAAGCACAGTTTGGCTGCTGGTGAACATACCAGGATGGTATTATATTAACACCCTCGTATGCAATCCAGTCCTATCTCTGTTATCGACTACTTTTTACATGAATATATATTAGTGTCAGAAGGCCTCTTGGAGGGGGTGAGTGTTGTAGAACTGCAGAGCAGAGTGGGGCACATTAGCCATGACAGCTTTGCAAGCCATGTAAAATCACCTTTGCCAACTTCTGGACGGGATTCCCTAACAAATCTGCTTCTAGGCTGCTGCTAAGCACTCATGGGTACACAGGAATCCAAAGAGGCACACGAAAGAATGAAAGCCATCAACCAGCTGGGTATTTATTCTCCTAAGGAGAATACTACAGGCTGCAAAATTTTCATCTGGAGAGTAAAGTGTCTTTAAGCCTTATGGGTCTTGTTGTCCCCAAGGTGTGGAAACAATAAGTTAAAAAGTCTAGCAAAAGTGACAAGGAAAGCTTATCTCATTAACTGCAAGATCTTAAAAGACTTTACCAACAAAATTAGGCAAAGATAAGTAGCTAGAAATACCCCTGGGGACCATGCAAGAATCCCTGAGAAACCGGGTTAGTTGGACTCCCTTACCAATTTAAGCTCTACTACCCAACCTCACAAATAATTGGATGGGTCCCTGAGTCAATACCAATCCATTCTCTCCCCTCCCCCTTCTCATCCTCTGGGTGAAAGGGAGTTAGCTATCAGCAGAGCAAGCATTACCCAGAATTTGATGGAACATTTGCCCAACCTGGAACACCAGAAGGAGTTCAACATAACAAGATAAGGTCTAGTAAATCCCAGAGAAGAATGAGGTATCTGACATTTGAAACTAATATTGGAAACCATGCCCGCTCTGAGAGGTGGTTCCTCTCATAGAGTGTGGTTTTGCCTGAAGAAAGGGTGCCGTTCTAAAATGCCATTTTTGGTATGGGATAACAATTTAGAAACATCGCTTGTGTATATATGTGTATATGGCTACATGAATAGAGACTCCAGTAAGAGGAAGAATAGTTAAGTTTAAAACAATAGATTGGTAAATTATCAACACAAATCGGTAACATTTGGATAATGTATCCACTGTGGGATGTGGACATGAACCTTTCATAAGAATAGGATGCTGGTTGGCTCGCCAGACCTGTTCACATGCTTGGGTGAGGGCAGTGATATCTGTGCACCCTTCAGGTGAGAAGTGACATTCTTGATGGAGGGTTTACCCCCTTCAAGAGGTAAACAGAGGTGAGGAGCCCCCTCTTAGTGCTTATCTTTCCTGGCCATGGCCCAATATGAGGTCCAATAGAGAATGGGGGACAGAGACTAAAGAACTCTTCAGTAGCTGAGAGCACTAGTAAAGGAGTGGGAGGAATTGCCTTAAGTAATTCGGCCAGAACAGCCTAGTCTGACATGGTCTTTGATTCAAGGAAAGCCAGTCTAGAACATAATTCAACAAACAAGATAAATTATAAATCATATCAATTAAAAATCTGGATCCTCAAACTTTTTAACACTTTGAAGTGGCACTATTGTTTGCTGGTCTAAGTGTCCTATCCCAAATTCTTATGAGTAGGAATGCGGTCATTTCTTTATAAATTATTGTTCCTGAGACCTGTTGTGAGGGGTCCTTGGACCTGTCTGAAGATGTTTATATTGACTCTGTATCTATGTGAAGTCCTCTTAAAAGTTCTGGTCAGTGTCTGCCTTGAGAAAAAGCTTTATATAAAGCAGATGCCATATAAGCATGTGCTGCCAAAGGTGAATTCTCTTGCTGGATAAATTGAATGAACTTCTCTTCTTTAAAACAGTGGGTAGCAGAGCCACGTGCATTACTGAAGTTTTTTGAACAGTTGGGAGGCTCTTTCCCCCAGTTAAATCAGAAATATAGTAGATCGCCCTGGCTGGTGTAGTTCAGTGGATTGAGCACTGCGAACTAAGGGACCGCGGTTTGATTCCCAGTTAGGGCACATGCTTGGGCTGCAGGCCAGTTCTTGGCAAGGGATGCACGAGAGGCAACCATGCATTGATATTTCTCTCCTTCTCTTCCCCTCTAAAGATACATTAAAAAACAATGTAGTAGATCATCAACTCTGTTTGGGGGGATCCCACTACATAAAGTTTGTGTTAGGTAATGGTGGTCTTTGGCAACACTGATGACCATCAAGACTGGGATTTCATACCAGATGAGTGGACAAATGATCAATTTATTGCTATCTCTATGGCCATCCTTTTTCAGCAGACAGGAAAGAGGGAGGAATCAGGTTTGGCCCTTCACTATAACCTTCTTCCATTCAACTCACAGGGTCTTCCTAGGCCAGTAACAAAGCTGATTCAGATAATTTCCTGAGTGCAGCTGCCAAAGAAGCACTTCATGGAGAATATCTGGAGGAAGGCAATTCCCCTAGTTAATAGTTGGAGGCTGTTGGTTATCCACCATCCCTTCTTCCATCATATATACGGCACTACTTTTTCTGAGCCAAGCAGCAAATGTGTATAGCACTGTCAACAGGCTAAGGTATGGGAGTGATAGGAAGCTTTGCATTTAGCTCTTGGTTTTGAATACCCCCAAACATGGGTTTTTTTTTCTAGGACTCGGGCCTGTGTCTTTGGGCCTTTTTAGAAACTTCTTAAATGGACAAGTAATGGAAGTAGCTTGCTTTGCCTTTTACATCACTAATGCTCGAGTCACAAACAAACACTGGGTTTGAGTCCTGGGTTTCTTTGGACCACTACAGAAGAGATGGGAGCAGCTGCAGCAGAAGCCCAGGCCTGTTTCCATAAGGAAAGAACTACTCTTGAGAGCTATTCCAGTTGCATCTTTCACGTTAGGTGTTTGTGTGCACGCACAAATGTGTCTACCTGGTCCAAACAGGGAAACAGCATTGGGCCAGTTGTCAGGAGACATGTATCCAAGCCCCTTCATTTCTATGGTTCTTAGTTTTCCCATTTAGAAAATGGGAAGTGGGGATGAACCATGCATCTTTCAGGTCCTCATGTTTGTAAAATGTTGCTTACTCCTTTTCCTTGGTGCCATGAGCATGAATTTAGAGACTCACTATCTCTAAAATCAATGGATAGTCTCACGACACATTCCAGAGATGAGTTTAGGATGAAAGTGGGGGGTGGCCCTGCCTCATCCGAATCAAATAGATAGTTGCTTTTCAGAGATTACAGAAAGGGCCAGTATTTATCAGTCACCCCTGACCAACACGAGGTTACTACATTGTTGTCCTTTCACAGAGAGGTAGTGACAGGACATCTCTAGAAGCAGAGTACAGGCCAATCTGAATGGGCACTGAGCACATCACTTCCCTTGCTGCTTTTGTCTGAATCCATGTAGAGATGTATGTGGATCTGGGACCTTATGTGTCAAAGTCTTTCTATTCTTGAAATCCACGAGTTGAATTGAATGTTTTCTACCATGGGAACAAAAGTGATGACTGGTAATTCACAGGGAGACCATCCTAAATATACTGGATATTGCCAACTCCCACTAGAACTGCTAGCAATTGCCTAAAACCAAAGGAGGCTATGCAGTGTTATGTTAGAGATGCCTCGTGGGTAGACACTACAGGCAGAGTCACCAACTCCTGTCCACTGGCAAACCCTAGTACATTTCAGGTCTTAAAAATGGCCGATTTAATTTTTTTTTAATTAGAATGATTTTTTCAAATATTTTATTTATTTTTAGAAAGTGGAAGGGAAGAAGAGTGGGAGAAACATCAATGTGTGGTTGCCTCTCATGTGTCTCCTACTGGGGACCTGGCCCACAACCCATGCATGTGCCTTGACTGGGAATCAGACTGGCGACCCTTTGCTTCACAGGTCCACACTCAATCCACTGAGGCACACCAGCTAGGGCTGATTTAATTTTTTTTAAGAAATCCAGGTAAACAGGGCCCACCAAGCCCTGTTTAGGAGCTGATTGCCAACATTGGAATATGATGTGGTCACAGTTCCTGATTAGAGGCTCTGTGGGTCTTTGAGGGGTCAATAGAGATGGCTCCTTCTAATGGCCCTTGTGAAAGTGTAATGGGCAAAGTTGGTGGTGAGACGTATAGAATTATTAAATATGTTGTTATGAGTCTGAGCACATCCAGGTAGGGTTGTTAGTGTTCAATAGGAAGGGAAATGGGGCTGAACATCATGGTGTGTCTCTATCAGGCCCAGGGGCCTGCCTTCAGCCAGCTATGCCCCCAAAGGGTACGAGGAAAGGAGATTCTCTGCCAAGGTGTTATTTTTTTCATTCTCTTTTCCCAAATTCGTAATTCTGCTACCATGACCTGAATGTGAACAGAATTACTTGATTTCTGAGGCAAAAAAGGGAGTAGTTTGAAAGGGGTGGCAAAGGGCACTGGTACTAGGTTATATGCGTACAGTGCTGTAGTGGACCACAGAGTTATAGTCGGGTGGTGGGCTGTGGCATTCAAGGGTAGAATCCAGTGGCAGGAGGGAAGTCTCTTTCATCTGGTCTTCCTCTTCAACTCCAAGGGCTGAATGATATTTCACAAGCTCCATCTCACTCTTCCTTGGAAAGGACTCCTTGTTCTTCATGACGGTACTCAGGCTGGTCAAAGAGAAAAAGAAACATGCTTAGCCTAGAACTGATCATTTCGGAGACAGGAAGGCATATTTTAGACACAGAGATGACAGATGTTGGCAGACATGTAGGAAGACCGAAGGTTCTTTTGTAAAGATCAAGTTCTCCCCTGTGGGGAAGCCAAAGGTCAGTGCAGGTCTACACAGGTCATTATGGTGACCCTGCACTAGGCAAATGGGGAAACTCAGAAATAAAGAACTGTGGTCCCTTCAGGCAGGCAGTTTTTAATTGGATTTGGGAAAGCCACCAAAAGTATTTATAATGTGGCATGTGTTCACTGTTAAAACTGCCTCAAGGCCCAGGAAACTCTACAGAGCTGTGAAATGTTTGACATGTGTGCTTCAACTTCTTCACCTGTAGGATGAATATGAGGAAAGAAAGTTGGATTGGATGCATTTAAGCTCTTTCTGATTCTAAAATCTTCTTTAACTATTTTCAGCTTATAGAAATGGCAACTACATATAGTTTAACTTAAAGCTTTGAGCTATCAAGCTTCCTTTTATGAAAAGAATATTGTGTAACCCTGGACCAGTTTCTTCTGTTCACTATCACTCACTTTCCTCATATATAACAGGAGGAATGAAAGCTCTCCAAGGAGGTAAAAAGACTTGTACTAAAAAAAAGATACTGAAAAAATTGAAGATACAAACAAATAGAAACATATACTGTGCTCATGGATAAGAATAATTAACATCAAAATGTCCATAGTACCTAAAGGAATCTATAGATTCAACATAATTCCTGTCAAAATACCCTTGGCATATTGTACAGAACTAAATCAAACAATACAACAATATATGGTGAACTTCTAAATATGTTGAATAACTTCAGCAAATTTGAGAAAGACATGATGCATCCCACTACATAATATCAAAGTATACTACAAGGCCATAGCAATCCAAACAGCCTGGTAATGCCCTGGCTGGTGTAGCTCAGTGGATTGAGCACGGGCCTGCGAACCAAAGGATCGCAGTTGGATTCCCAGTCAGGGCACATGCCTGGCTGGGCCAGTTCCCAGCAGGGGACGCACGAGAGACAACCACACATTGATATTTCTCTTCCTCTCTCCTTCCCTTCCCCTCTAAAGATAAATAAAATATTTTTTAAAATATAACCTATGGGACGTGATTTACCTATGATATATTTGATAAGAGATTAATATCCAAACTTTATGAAGATCTAAGACAACTTAAAACCAGAAAAACAAGCAACCCAATTAAAAAATGTTCAAAGAATCTGAATAGAGACTTCTCCAAAGAGGACGTACAGATGACCCCATAGACATATGAAAAGATGCTCAACATCATCTATTGTGATGGCTGATGGTTGTCATGCTCTGCCACAGCTACTGGGTCTCATCATAAGTACACAGCAATAGAGGCCAGTGTTGAGGGTCAGGCTTAGGGGATACAGGTATATATCTGGAGCCTGACACTCTGCCTGAGATGACCTATGATTGTCTTTCTTCTGAAACATGCTGTGACTTACAGCTGTCATGAAATGTTTACAGTGTTAGGAGCAAAATGTCAATGAAGTGCAAAATAAGCTAGACTTGAATGAACGAGGTGATGTGTAAAATATGGAAAACTTTGAGACCTAAAGCTTTTTAAGAAACAGTTATGTGATAAGTAATGGAGCTGCAGTACACCTAGGTCCAATGCACAATGTCATTGGAATCATACAAATTTTTCAGCCAATGACTAAATGATGGGATCAGGGACTGCTGTGTAAATGCTGCTCATCCTTGGTGGGCTCACTGTAAGCCTCGGCTCCTCTTGGAATCTTCTACTAAGACCATGACAACTTTATATTTTATGTATATTAGTGAAAGGTACCCCTTGTTGACAGAATCCTCCTCTTGATCCCTAATGAATGATAAACTAACTCTGTGAAAAGTGTGCCTTCCTCTAGGCACACAGAGCTGTTTCAGGGCAGAGAGTGTCAAGTAGAACATGAGCTGGATTCAGTCCTCATTTGCTCCCTGAGCTGAGCACCTGTGTCATATATGGACTCTACCCCACTGTTGATGTAGACCCTGCCTCAATGTCAACTCTATATGGATTATTCTGTTGTCTAAATTCTTACAAGTCTTAATCTACACCACTCAGGTATGTCCCCTTGACAAAACTTCCTAGACTTGTTCATAATCGTGCATGTCTTCGATTGTTACTAGATTGTCAGTTATTTTGAGTGGTCTTATTTTATACCATCTCAGTGCCTAATAATGTTGAACACAAAGGTATTTAATATGTTCATTGTTCACTTGAAGTGAATTCAGTTGTGCTTCGTCTTATCCTCTGTTGCCCTTGGGCCCTTCTCCACTTGCTATTTCACATCCTCTGTTGGCAGGAACACTGTTTGTTATCTCTCCTCATTTCTATGTGAAGGACACACTGTGGGAGGAACACTGCCCTCCCTGTCTCTTAAATCACCCCCTCGCTGTGAGAAGGGAAGTTAGTTAGCAGATTGGTGAGAAGTAATTGCCTGCTTTTGCCAAGTCCTTTCTCTCTTTAGGACTTCGTTGGTGGCAAAAAGACTGTCTTTTCCCTGAGGGGGAACCTGAAATTTTAGGGTAAATCTAATTCAGGATCATGTTAACAAGTCCATCTGGCTGCAACTGTAAGCCAATTCTCTAATCTACTTTATATCAACAAGAAAGCTAGAGTGAAGACCTTAAATTGGCACTGTCGCTTATGTTTTAGCTTGCTCAGAACTCTGGGAAAAAGGGGGTATAATTTATTGATCCCCCCTTTAAAAATGACTGATTCTAGACAACTATCCTCATTAATAGTTTTGCAAACCATTTCCTCAAAGATGTAGAAGCTACTGCATCTCACCTGGCTTCCATGGTGATATTATTGCTTATGGTCTCCTCTACAGGGTCCAGGGCCATGAATGTAGGTGTTCCGCCAGTGCCATTCAGAGGTATGTAGTCTTTGCCATCCTGCATGTGAAAACAGACATGTCCATCACTCCCAAGATACAAATATGCTAATTTGCATTTGTGATATCCTTTCCTGCCAACACCTGGCTATAAGAAGGGATGCTGGCCTTCATTGGACAGTTGAGAAGTTTGCTCTACTTTTCTATTTACCTCAAAATCCCTGCTTAACAATTTAGAACCACACCTTTTGTGTCACAGAAGTTGATTCATAAGGCTGTACTTACACACTTGTGGATTCAGTGTTTTTTTATTAAAAATATTTTATAAAGAAATTTTCCTTCTTCCCTCTCAACTTCCCCCCCATCTTCTCCTCTGACAAAACAATTTTACAAGGGATGAAGGGAGTGAGCAGAAGTAGAAAGTCCTTTATGAAGAGAACCAATGAAGGGATCTAAGACAGCAGCAAGTAGGTGGAAGTTACATTCACCTTCCCTGAGCACCAAATCTGAATTAACAACTAAATTACAGAACAAGCAACCTGAATAAACAACAAAAGACCAGCTGAACAGAAGTCTTATAACTAAGGATAGATATACAGAAGAAGCTACCTTGAGATTGAGAGGAAGGGCAGAGATGCCAAAAGGAATGGTCTTGTTGTGCCCATTTGTGGTGGCTGAGAATCTGGGTGGATATCTCAGATGCCACCCCCCCCCACCAAGGAATGAAGTGTCTCAGTCCTATTCCAGGTTCACCAACCCAGAGCACCAGTGCTGGAAAGAGGAGCCCAGATAGCATCTGGCAGGGAAAACCAGCAGATTCTGACCACAAGGATGAGGTAGAAAGCTGTGAGAAACGCAGGTACCCTCTTAAAGGGCCAGCACGTACAAATCTTTTTTGCAGCCACTCACATTGGGATCCCATGGAGGGACCTCGACTGAGAGCAAAGTAGGATCATACAGGGAGAGACTGGATTGTGTAGCTTTGGGGAAAGGGCTGGAGGGACAGCTACCAATGTCCCTGGGCTGAGTACCTTTCCCACACTGCCCCCAAATGCCATCCTTCCTAGCTCAAGCACTCCTCTCCATATGGCATCAGCCTGGGTATGCACAGCAAAGAAAAACAACCTATTGAATGGGAGGCAATATTTGCCAATGATACATGTGATAAGGCATTAATATAAAAAATATTTAAAAAACAGATACAGCCCTGGCTGGTATAGCCCAGTAGATTGAATGGGGGCCTGCGAACCAAAGAATTGTGGTGCGATTCCGTCAGGGCACATACCTGGGTTGCAGGCCATTTCCCAGCAGGGGATGCACGAGAGGCAACCATACATTGATGTTTTCTCTCCCTCTCTCCTTCCCTTCCCCTCTAACAGTAAAATAAATTAAATCTTAAAAAGAAAAAAGGAAGCAAAAAAAAAAAACCACATACAACTCAACACCAAAAAAACCCAAACCATCCAGTTAAAAAATGGACAGAGAACCTAAGTAATAAAAATTTCACCAGAGGGCATACAGACAGACAGCAAACAGACAAGTGAAAAGATGGTCAAGATCAGTAATCATGAGAAATGCAAATTAAACCAAATTGAAATATCACCTCACAGCTGTCTTAAAGTCTCTGATCAATAAATCACAAACAGCAGGTGTTGGTGAAGATGTGGAGAAGATGGAATCCTCCTGAATTGTTGGAAGGAATGCAGACTGTGCCGTCATTATAAAAAACAACATGGTCGTCAAAAAATTAAAAATGAAACTGCTTTATGACCAAGTGATTCTACTCCTGCAGTTATATCCTAAGCAAGCCAAAATACTGATTTCAAAGAATATATGCATCCTATGTTCATTGCAGCATTATTTACAGTAGCCAAGAAATGAAAGTAACCCAAGTGCCCATCAATATATGAGTGAAAAGAAGAGCTGTGGTCCATATAAATAGTGCAATATGACTCAGCCATAAAAAGAATGAAATCTTACCATTTGCAAAAGCCTGGATCAACCTTGAGGCAATTATGCTTAAGTGAAATAAGTTAGAAAGAAAGACATACTATATGATATTACTTACATGTGAAATCTAAAAAAAAAAAGAAAATAAATGAATAAATAAAACAGAAATAACCTCATACAGAGAACAAATTGATGGTGGCTACACTGGCAAGGGTTTGAGAGGATAAGTTTTAAAGGGGAAGGAATTCAGATGTACAAATTACTACATATAAAAATAGTCACAGGGATATATAGTGCAGCATAGGGAATATAGTCAACAGTGTTGTAATAACTATGTATGGTGTCAGGTGGGTACTGGAAATACTGGAGTGATCATTTGTAAGGTATATCATTACCTAACCACTATACTGTAAACCTAAAGCTAATATAAAATAATATTGAATGTAAGTTGTGTTAAAAATGAAATTTAAATTAAAAACATAAGAGTGACCAGAGGGGAGGGGATCATAGGGGAAAAGGGTGAAGGGTTTTCAGGAACAAGTAAGTATAAAGGACATGGGAACAAAAACTAGGGGTGGGGGCGTGTGGAAATGGGAGGGAGGTGGGGATGGCAGGGGTGGGGGGAAAAGGCATAAAACTGTACTTGAACAACAAAAAAATGTTAAAAAAACACAAAACATAAGAGAATCAGTGAAAGTACAAATTACTTTTAATTGACTATTTGTATGACTTTGGCTTGAAAAGTGAAGGCCACTTATGAGGAACATCTTATCAGAAACTAGAAGATTACCAATACAGCTGCCCATTGTTATGTGAAAAGTAGAAAATTTAATACATTCAGTGATCTGGGTAAGGCTATTTCCAACTAAAATATTGATGGTGCCACATGGCTTGTTCTTATTGCTGCTAATATAATGCAAGAAGAAAAAAGAGAGAATAAATAAAATGAAAGAAGAAAGATGTATTTGTGGAACCACAAGTTGTTAAATAAGGAGGAGTCAGGAATTTGTGTTTTTCAAAATTTTCTGCCTCTCCAGATAGTAAAGTATGTGCTAAAATAAATAGCTTCTAAGCAAAGAATAAATCTCACATTGTCAAGAAAATATGGTCTGGAGATCAATCTAGAGAACAACAATATCTCAAGGAATTTTAAGGAGATTGTCCTCCAACATTTTAGCAAGGCTCTAAATTATAGAAATGAAGTTTGTGGGTATGGTTTTGTTCAAGTAAAGTGAACCCCAATAAGCTTCACAAGAAGACCACAAAAGTTTTCAGAAAATTGTGACCAGAAACACTGTCAATATGCAGTGAAAAGGACAGAGACCGTATATAATGAAAAGAGGCCATTAACGTTCCTCAATTCTATTGGCAGTAAGTAGGGTGGAAAAAAAAACTACTGAGCTGAAAATATGGTCTACCTTTAATGATGGAAGAAATATCATGGCAAAAGCAATTTTTTAAAAAACATTGTCCCTGCTGCCTAGAATTCTTCTTGCACTTTTCCAATAGTTTAACTCCTGCTTATTCTCTCTCAAGATCCTGGCATCTCTTCTTCCCGGTATTCATCATACTCTATTACAAACCTTTTTTTTGTTGTTTTTTAAAATTTATTTTTATTTTCCCTGGCTGGTGTAGCTCAGTGGATTGAGCGCGAGCCTGTGAACTAAGGGATTGCAGTTTGATTCCCAGTCAGGGCACATGCCTGGGTTGCAGGCCAGTTTCCAGCTGGGGATGCACAAGAGGCAACCATACATTGATATTTCTCTCCCTCTCTCCTTCTCTTTCCCTCTAAAGATAAATGAATAAAATCTTTAAAAAATTTACTTTTATTTTTATTGTATTTTTCCATTACCATTTACCCCTCTTATGTCACCCTCCCCCCACAATCACCACGCTATTGTCTATGTCCATGAGTCCTTGTTCTTACTAGATTGTGTGTTCCTTGAGGTCAGAGGTTATATTTTTTTATCTTTAAATCAACAGTGTTCATTGACAGTAACCAGAGGGGAGAGAGGAGGGATATAATGGGGAAAGAAAGGGGAAGGTCAAGTCAAGGAACACATATAAAGGGCCCATGGAAAAAGCCAAAGGGGGGGGGGGTAAGTGACATGAATAGAGGACTCATGGGCATGGGCAACGGGGGTGGGGTTGACTGTGGGAGTGGGGAAAGATGGGGTAGGGATGAGCAATGAGGAAAAGGCGGTGTAACTGTAACTGAACAGCAATAAACAAATGCACGTACAGGGGGAAAATAACAATCAACAGTGTGCACTGCAATAGCTGGCACAGACTAGATGCTCAATAAATATTTTATTTATTTTAAAAATTTGTTTAAAACTTAGTTATTAATTAGTTTACTTTTACCAAAGATTGTATATCTTGTAGTGATTTTTAAAAATTTTAATCTTTATAGTATTTTTCCCATTACTTTTTACTCCTCTTATGCCCCCTCCCCCAGAAACCACCACAATATTGTCCATGACCGTGAGTACTTTTCCTTTTTGCTCAATCCTTCCACCTCCTAACCTCCCCTCCCCGCAGCTGTCATTCTGCTCTCCATCCATGAGTCTGCCCCCATTTTTCTTGTTAGTTAAGTTTGGTCATTAGATTCCACATATGAGTGATATCATATGGCATTTTTCTTTCTCTGACTGGCTTATTTCACTTAGCATAATGTTCTCCAGGTCCATCCATGCTGTTGCAAAGGGTAAACTTTTCTTTCTTTTTTTTTACACACAGTATTCCACTGTGTAAATGGCCCATAGTTATTTTACCCACTCATCTATTGATGGACACTTGGGCTGCTTCCATACCTTGGTGTTTGTAAATAATGCAGCAATGAACAGAGGGGTGCTTATGTTCTTTTGAATTAGTGTTTGGGTTCCTTCTAAGATACTCCCAGAAGTGGGATCACATGTCAAAAGGCAGATCCACTTTTAATTTTTTGAGGTGTCTCCATACTGCTTTCCACAGTGGCTTATAGTGGTCTGCATTCCCACCAACAGCATGAAAGAGTGCCCCTTTCTCCACATCCTGGCCAGCACTTGTTGTTTATTGATTTATTGATGTTAGCTATACTGACAGGTGTGAGGTCATATCTCGTAGTTTTAATTTGCATCTCTCTAATGGCTAGTGATGTTGAGCATCTTTTCATATGTCTATGGACCACCTGTATGTCCTCTTTGGAGAAGTGTCTATTCAAGGTCCTTTGCCCATTTTTTAACTGGGTTGTTTGGGGGTTTATTTGGTGTTGAGTTTTATAAGTACTTTGTAAAGTTTGGTTATCAACCCCTTATCACATGTATCAGTGAATATGTTCTCCCACTCTGAGAATTGTCTTATTACTTTGTTGATGATTTCCTTTGCTGTGCAAAAACTTTTAGTTTGATGTAGTACCATTTGTTTAATTTTTTCCCCTTTATTTCCCTTACCTGGGGAGATATATTTGATAAAAAAATTGCTATGAGCAATGTCCAAGATTTTGCTGCCTATGCTTTCTTCTAGGATTTTTATGGTTTTGAGCCTAACATTTACGTCTTTGATCCATTTGGAATTTATTCTTATGTGTGGTGTAAGGAGGTCATCTTTTATTCTTCTGCACAAATCCCGTTCAATTTCCCCAATACCATTTACTGAATAAACTGTCTTTAGCCCATTATATATGCTTGCCTCCTGTGTCAAATTTAATCAACTATAAAGATGTGGGTTTATTTCTGGGCTCTGTATTGTTCCATTGATCTATGTGTCTGTTTTTATGCTACTACCATGTAGTTTTGATTACAATGGCCTGATACTACAGTTTGATATTAGGTAGTGTGATTCCTCCAATTTTGTTCTTTTTTCTTGGGAATCAGTGTTGCTACTCTGGACCTTTTGTTGTTCCATATAAATTTTTGAAATCTTTGTTCTAGTTCTGTGAAATATATTACTGGAATCACTTAGCCTTCCACCATATCTTGGATTTCTCAATTAATATTTTAATGAAGAAATAATATTGTTTCTAATTGCATGTACTTTCTTCAGGGGTTTATTATTTCCCCTGTTTTCCTATTTCACTTTTCCTATAATTGTTGTAATTATTTCTCTTAAACTCCCATACACTAGATGATGAGTTCCCCAAGGACTGAATATGAGCATAGTCCAACGCTGTAGTAGCCACAGCTCCAAGAACTGTGACTTAGTAGACGACACTAAAATGATGCTGACGTGATAGAATAAAGAAAAGCAATGGTTACCTGCTGAACGTTGGCCTGAAGGAGATCTCCAAGACGCCCGACAAGGTCCGAGAAGTTGGGTCTCTGAGTGCACTCACTGTGCCAGCAGTCAAGCATAGTCTGGTAGCTGAAGATGGAAAAAAACACCAAAAGAGTTTTCATTCTCTTATTTTAATCGCTTCTCTGACTTTTCCTATGGATGACGCCTGAGGTCGTATCTTCCCAATGACCCCCAAGCCATATTCTCTGCTGTGGTTTTAGTGAGTTTTCTGCAAAGCCTGCCTGCTCCACATCTCTCCAGTACGCTGTATGTCACCTGCATGCCCATTTGTTTCAGGTCTGTATGCATAAATGCACGCATATAATAATCAGCCATAATCAGTCCACTTGTAAACCAAATATTTAGAAACCCCTGACTTAAAAAAAAAAGCAACCTAGCATTTAGGTTTGTTGCCAAACTCCTTTGGTAGTAAAAAATGATGTGAAGGGGGAGACTGATGTATTTATCATGAAGCCAACTGGCTTCAAATATTCTCAAGACTTTGGGCTCTCCTCATGATCTAGAAGATTATAGAATTGAGGTTGAATCTTCAAATATCTTTGGAAAATGGTTTAAAACTGCCATCAGTTTTAGATTTTAAGTGGCAACACTGAAATCCCAGACTGTACTTTCCCATGACTTTGGCAAATGAGCCATCAACTAACTAGTAAGTGCAGCTGCATGCTGAAATCACTGTTTATTAAAAAGAAATTGAACCCCTGGCTGGTATAGCTCAGTGGATTGAGCGCGGGCCTGCGAACCAAAGGATCATGGTTTGATTCCCAGTTAGGGCACATGCCTGGGTTGCAGGCCAGTTCCCAGCAAGGGACACATGAGAGGCAACCATACATTGATATTTCTCTCCCTCTCTCCTTCCCTCCTCCTCTAAAGATAAATAAATAAATAAATCTTTAAAAATAAGAAAAGAAATTGTAATAATTAATTTATCTATACATTTCTGTGAAAAATAGGCCTTCAAACCTGCTTTTAGTACCTGTAGTAATTGTGCAAATTCATTCATTTTTTAATTAAATTTATTGGCATCACATTGGCTAAGATTATAAGATTCAAGGGTACATTTCTGATACATGATGTGTATATTGTATTGTGTACCCATCACCCAAAGTCAGATAATCTTCTGTCCTGATATATTTGATTCTTTTTACCATTTACAAACCTTACTCTTCTTCCCTCTGGTAATCACCATACCATTGTCTATATCTGAGTTTTTCCTTGTTCATTTGCTGCTTTCAGTCTTATATCCCACACATGAGTGAAATAATATGTTTATTATTTTTGTTTGGTGGTATTCTACAGTTATTTCCTGTTTTCTCTCTTTTTTTAAAGCTATGTGTTTCAGTTTTGGGGGGTGTTTGTATATGTGTGGGTACCATTGGGTTTATAAGAAAAGAAAGTTTCATATATACAGTAGCCCTTTTTCTTTGAATCAATCTGATCTCCACCCTCCTTTGCAAACTCAGACCTTTACTGTGTTCCCTTTTATGTGTTTGTTGTCACAAATTATTTATGCTGTGAGTTTTTGGTGATCTCACTCACAGCTTTCTGATCTTTAGTTCTTCGTTTCAGGTAGAATAACCCCCTTGAGTATTTTCTGCAATGGAGGTTTTCTGGTTGTAAATTCCCTCAGCTTCTACATGTCTGGAAAAGCCATTATTTCTCCTTCATATCTAAAGAGTAACTTCACTATATTATTGTATAATAATAATAATAATAATAATAATAATAATAAACAATAGAATATGTACAATATAATTGTACAGTATACAATATACACAATATATTTGTATACTGCATATACAATATACAATACAAGATGTGATCTCAGATGTAATACAACATATATATTGCACAGTACAAATATAATATACAATATAATGATATATAATGTGTATATTATTTGATATATACATTATATATACGTAAGTTTCTCTTTCAGTAGTTTGAATATTTGGTTCCACTCTCTTCTAGCATTTAGTTTCTGCTGAGAAGTCCTATGATAACCTAATGGGATCTCCTTTATAGGTTACTTTTTTCTTTTCTTTGACTACCTTGAGAATTCTTTCTTTGTCATTGATTTTTGACAGTTTTAATATAATCTAGCTTAAAGAAGGCCATTTTGGATTGTACTAATAAAGCTGTCTGTTTGCTTAATTGGATTCCAGGATCTAGCTTTTTCCATAGGTTTGGGAAGGTCTCATCAATTATTTGTTTGAATAGGCTCTTTGTTCCCTTCTTCCTCTCTTCTCCTTCTGCTATGCCCATCATTCTTAGATTGCTCTTTCTGATGGAGTCAGATAGCTCTCATAATTTGTTTTATTTTTTTAGGCCTAAGTCTCTTTTTTCTTTCATTTGCATTATTTCTAGATTTCTATCTTCAATATCACGAATTCTTCCCTCTATCCAGTCAGCTCTATTTCCTATGCTTACTAGTTCATTCTCTCTCTTCTACTGAGTTCTTCATGTCCAGAATTTTCATTTGTTTTCGTTTCAATCTCTTTGTAAAAGTACTCATTTTGTTCATTGATTTTGTTTCTGAGTTCATTGAACTAAACTATCTGTGTTTTCTTGCATCTCATTTAGTTTTTTTCAGAACTGCAATCTTGAATTCTCTTGTAATTTATATCACATTTTCATGTTTTTAAGTATATTTTCTGGAGATGTTTTAGTTTATTTCTGAGCTGCCTCATTATCTTGGTTTTTCATGGTGTTTGATGGATTCCTTTTCTTTCTAGGCATCTATATATGAGTGGCACTTACTTCTCTATTAGATCGATAAGAAGTCTTTCTATTGCTTTCCAATAGGTGGTGCTGAATCATGAGTTTTTAGTTCTCTTGCACTGCTTTGGCTTTTCAAACCTCTGCTGGGTGATGGAAAATGGCTTGTGTTCCCTGGAAAGGTGGGCTTGTCTCCTGTGTTCAGCTCACCTCTATCTCAGGGAACCAACCCCCATGGGGAATGTGGTGGGCAATGTGTTTTTAAATATGTGAAATCCCAGTGCTATGCTCTGTGCCAGAAGCTGCTGTCAGTCCAGGTTTGATGGGTGGGGGTGGAGTGAACTCAGGGAAGTTGGCTTACTTTGTTCCTTTTCTCTGTCAGTAATGGTAGCCCCAACCTCTGTGGCCTCCCCTCTGTATTCACTCAACCCTGGGATTAGTCACAGAGTGTGCCTGTTGCTTAGGGAAAGTGTTTCTGTGTTACTAGTTCTTGGGCTTGAAGATAATGTTCTTTGCAACCTGACACTCACTGCTACACATTCTTCTGGGGCCTGTTTCTAGCTCTGGGAAAGTCAGGGGAGGTGGTCAGGCCCTGTGATTTTGTTTCTGACTAGAATGCTGACTGCAGACAATCATAGCCGCATGTCTGTGCTGTGTCCCTGCTTGGGTCACAGGGTTCAGCTGCCACCTATACTGCCCACTCCTGTAAAAATGCCCGCTGATGCTCTTTGCTCCTTCTAGCTGAATGGAGCTCCAGCCATAACCTGATACCTTTCCTCTCTGGGCTGAGTCCTACAGCTCTTCTCCCTTCCCACCTCCCTTATCCACCCCCACTTGCCCAACGTCATATATTTCAATGCACAGATTGCTCGGACATGTTTGTGTATCGAAAAACAAATCTGTTGAATTATAATAGTCCAAATTGTCAAAACTTTAAGGGGAGATAAAAAAGGGACCTCTCATGCTGCTATTCCTCTGACATCACTGTCTAGATTCACTTATTGATTTATTCGAAGATCCCAAGAATGACTCCAGTTTGGTATATGCAATAAGAAACCAAACACGGTGTGTGACTTGCAGTACTGCGATATTAGCTTTATTGTAAGCATCTGGACTAAACTTGCAATATCTTTGAGGTTTGTCTGTATACTTGAGAAAAGCAAAAGAAGTATGTGGGCATTGAACAAGATTTCATGTGTCATCCTATATCACCTGTGATGTTCACTTTGACCTTTTTATCCAAAGTAATGTAGTCTGATGACCCTTAGCATGAATAACTTACATTTCAGGAGTGGAATATTCAGGAGCTCTCATTCGTGTTCCCGCCTTAAGTTGACGGCAGAATTCTTCATCTATTTGTACTCCTGGGTATGGTGAGGCACCTGACAGATAAGAAAAAACATATCCTATTCATTCCCATGAGATAAGCAACTCATCAGGATCTTATAAGACAGAGACTTCCATCTGCCTTGACAATTTAGAGGCCTGACATAAATAATTCTCCTAGAAACCACATATATAAATTATTTTGAGATAAAGGTAAAGGTTTTTAAAAACTACCAATGAATTTCCATCGACTTGGCAATAAGTTGATGCTTTGAAATTTTTTAATTTATGGATTTGAAAGAGAGAGAAAGAGGCTGATTATTCCACTTATTTATGGTTGATTCTTGTGTGTGCCCTGACTGGGGATTAAACCTGAAACATGGTCTATCAGGGCAATGCTCTAACCAACTGAGAGCTATACAGCCAAGCAATAATTTCATGCTTTGAAATGATATGTCCAATCATGACCTGTGATTTGCTGGAATGTAACCTACTTTTCAATATAAGGTGGGTGATTTTATTTTTAATCCAAAAACATTTGTTTCGCAGTCTCTCAATGCTCTTTTCATGTTATACTTTAACTATGACATTCTAATGTAGCCTGAACAAGGGAGGAGGTTTCCACCCAGTGTGGGCATCTGTTTGCTACTTGGGAAATGTAGTCCTGGTGGTACCCAAACCCAAAAAAGAAATAAGGCCTGAGGGTAAATTTCATGTTGGCAAGTGAAAAAAATAATTACAAAAATGTTTTATGGTAAAGAAAAAGCGCATTTCCCAAGTTTAAATCACAGTTTAAGAGTTTACAAATGATCAAACCACGAGTCTCTTTGAACATCTTGTCTGTGCCAAACTACAATGTAAGCTACATTGCCAAACTCATGATTCTTACTTGGTTGCTTATATTCAATAGTTATGAAAATTCTAAAATCCATTTTCTAGGACTTTGAGATTTGTGATAGTGACAGGCACCAATATAAAGCTACAAGGAACACAAGGAATCAAGGAAATAGGACATTACCAAAAGGACAAAATAACATATATGCATGACACATAGACACAGACAACAGTGTGGTGAAGGCCAGAGGGAAGGTGGGGCTGGGCTGCATGGAGGTGGCCAAGGCAGCAGGTGGGGGGGGTATGGGGACTTCTGTAACAGTGTCCAAAATAAAAATGAAGTTAAAAAATGGGCAAATGGCCTGAGAAGATATTTCTCCAAAGAAGTCACACAGATGCTCAACAAAAATATCAAGTATGTGCAACATTATTAGTCATCATAAAAATGCAAATGAAAGTCATGAGATAACACCGTACACCTGTCAAAGTGGCTGTAAGTAAAAGGTCAACAAACAATAAGGGATGGTAAGGATGCGGAGAAATGGGAATGTTCATGTACTCTGAGTGGGAGTGTAAAATGGTGCAGCCGCCATGGAAAAACAGTGTGGAAGTGTCTCAGAAAAATAAAAATAGAAATACTATATGACCCACTGATTTCATTTCTGGACACTTATGTTATGAACACTAATTCAAACAGGTATATACATACTATGTTCACTGTAACATTATGTACAATAGCAAAACTATGGAAGCAACGTAAGTATCCATCAAGGTATGAATCAATAAAAAATACGTAATATGGCATATTATTTAGGCATGAGAAATAATGTGATCGTGTCATTTAAAACTTCATATATAAACCACAAGGTATTGTAAGTGGTTTGAGATGGACAGAGAATAAATGAGATATGATTTCACTTATGTGGATTCTTAAAAAATATTAAGTGAACAAACAACAAAACAAACAGAAACAGACTCATAGAGGCAGAGTGCAAACTGAGTTGTTACAGGAGGGAGCATGGGTGCAAAAGAAGAAGGAGTATAAGAGGTACTTGCAATAATAAAATACATTATAGTGAACTATGAACAGTACAGTGATAGACTGCTACTAGATATATCTGATGATCACATCATAAAGTATATAAATACAGACATACTTTGTTGTTCAGAACATATCATTATTCTAGTGTATACTTTTATTTCTGTCATTGATTAGTTGACAATAAAAGCAAAGATTTATTTATGAGCTCTCTATTCTGTCCATTGATCTATGTGTTTTTGTTCCAGTACCATACAGTTTTAAGTATTATAGCTTTGTGATATAGTTTCAGGTCAGGAAGCATGATACAACACCAACTTTAATCTTCTTTACCAAGATTTTGTATTTCTGTTCAGCATTTTTGGGTATTTGGGTCTTTTTGGGGTCTATAGAAATTTTAGGGTTATTTATTCTAGTTTTGAGAATAACATTGGTATTTTGATAGGAATTGCATTAAATCTGTAAATCGCATGGGGTAATAGGTCATTTTAATCCTCCAATCCATGAGCCAGTATATCTTTTCATTTAATTGTCCTGTTATTGCCTTATAGTTTTCAGAGTATAGGTCTTTCACCTCCTTGGTTAAGCTTATTGCTAAGTATTTTATTCTATTTGATGCAATTATAAATGGGATTGTTTTCATCATTTCTCCTGATTATTTGTTACTAGCGTATAGAAACATGATAAATTTCTGTATATTAGTTGTATATCTTGCTACTTTATGAAATTATTTTATTAATTCTATTATTCTTTCATTTTGGTTTATTTTCAATTAATGGAAGAAATATGGGTTAATAAAATTATTTAGGCTTCAAGTGTAAATTCTATGATACATTATCTGTATATTGTATTGTGTGCCTACCACCCAAATTCATCTTTTTGTCTCACCATATATTTGACTCCCTTTACCCTTTGCTACTCCCTTACCCTTCCTTTCCTTTGGTAACCATTATACTGTTGTCTGTTCCTATGAATTTTTGTTTGGTTGTTTTTCTTATTTGTTGCTTTCAGGTTTATATCTCACATATGAATGAAATCGTATGGTTCTTAGCTTTTTCTCTCTGACTTATTTTGCTTAGCATGATGTTCTCAATATCTATCCCCGTTGTTGCAAATGGCAGCATTTCATCTTTTCTCATGGCTGAGTAGTATCCATTGCATATATGTGCCACATCTTTTTTATTCAATCATCTACTGAAGGACATTTCAGTTGTTTCCATGTCATGGCCACCATGAAAAATGCTGCAATGAACATAGGGGCGCATATACCTTTGAGAATAAAGGTTTTCAAATTTGGGTGTAAATACTCAGAAAAGGGGTTGCTGGGTCATGGTAACCTTCTTAAATTTTTGAGGAACCTCCATACTGTTTCCATAGTGGCTATACCAGTGTACATTCCCACCAGCAGTGAATGAGGGTCCCTTTTCTCCACAACCTTTGCAACACTTGTTATTGCCTGTCTTGTTGATAACAGCTGTTCTAACTGGTGTGAGGTAGTAGCTCATTGTGGTTTCGATTTGCACTTCTCTGATAGCTAGTGAAGTTGAATATCTTTTCATGTGTCTGTTGGACATTTGTTTCTTCTTGGGAAAAGTATCTTTTTAAGTCCTCTGCCCATTTTTAATTGGGTTGTTTGGTGTTGGGTTGCATTACTTCTTTATATATTTTGGATATTAACCCCACGTTAGAGCAGTTGTTTGCAAGTATTTTCTCCTACTCGGTTGCTTTTTTGTTTTTTTAAAGATTTTATTTATTTATCTTTAGAGGGGAAGGGAAGGAGAGAGGGAGAGAAGCATCAATGTATGGTTGCCTTCTGGCATCCCCTGCTGGGAACTGGCCTGCAGGGAACCGGCCTGCAACCCAGGCATGTGCCCTGACTGGGAATCGAACCGCGATTGTCTGGTTCGCAGGCCCGCACTCAATCCACTGAGCTACACCAGCCAGGGCCTGCTTTTTTTGTTTTGTTGGTGTTTTCTTTGGCTGTGCAGATGTTTTTTAGTTTGATATACTCCCATTCATTTGTTTTTGCTTCCATTTACTTCCCTTGCCTCTAAGGTCAAATTAATAAACTCCCCTCTAAGACAAAGTTTTGTAAGTTTAGCACCTATATTTTCCTCCATGTAATTTATTGTGTTGGATGTTTCAATAAATGATGCTGGGAAAATTGGTGTCTTCAATACCTTGAGACTTCATCTTGCACCTGGTAACTAGCTGGTCACAGATTTGCCTTCAAACAGAAACCATAAACCCTTTCAAACTAAATATTTTTCTGTTTCAAAGTTCTTTCTATACTTTTAGGAATTTTTTTTTTTTTACAACTCAGAATTCTGGCTCATTCACCACTCCAGCTTAATAAGGATTGGCAGAGATGTATTGTTGAACCTTCTGGAATGCTATTGTGAAAAAGCAAGTCCTTCAGCCCTTATATACTAGCCTCTGTTCTCTCCCCTCCAACTGGTTTCAATCTCAGGATTTATGTGACAACTCAATCTTATGGGCCTTCTTCTCCCACCCTCCTCCTGAGTCAGGTATGAGTTTTACAGTAAAATTCCATCCATTATGGTATTATATACTACTTAAACAAGCAAAACCACATATAGTTAACACAATGTACATACAAATAAGAATTTGCACATACACAGTAAGAAGGGTATGCACAGTAAAAGCATCAGACTGTGCATCTTACTGATGCACAGTAAGAAGGCTTCCTGGTATGTTTATAAAGTTTCCCCCCACCCCGGGTATCAGGAATGTGGGACTGGGAGTCTAGAAGACTGGTTTCAAGTTTTCCTATGCTACTTTCTTCAGGGTTCCATAGGACTTAGAAACACTGATGCCACACTGTGGCTTGGGTAAGCGTGGCAGTGTGTACGGTGGTTAAAAGAGTTGGGGAGCACAGGGGTGGTGGGCTTGGATGGGAGTAAAAGACAGAAAAGTATACTTAAACAACAATTAAAATAAATAAATTTTTAAAAAGTGGGGCTTGGGAGCCAGACATGCTGGGCTCAAATTCTGGCTCTATGAAAAGTCTTTAAGAAGTTACTTAATCTCTCTGTGTCAACACAGCCCTGTCTGATGTGTGTACCTCCTTCCCTCTCTAACCTTACCTCCAGCTAGTCTTCAGCTGACTCATCCACTCCAGCCACAACGGTCTCCTGTCTGATCCTCAAACTCACCAGGCACACTCCATTTCCTATTTCCCTTGTGCAGTATTCTCTTCTCCCAGATAGTTGTGTGCCTCATTCCTTTACTCTTCAGGCCTTGGCTGAAACATTTTACTTTCTGTGAGCCCCTCCCTAACCATTCAATTTAAAAACTAACCCATTGAGTGCGGGCCTGCGAACCAGACAATCGCGGTTCAAATCCCAGTCAGGGCACAGACCGGGGTTGCAGGCCAGTTCCCTGCAGGCCAGTTCCCAGCAGGGGACGCACAAAAGGCAACCATACATTGATGTTTCTCTCCCTCTCTCCTTCCCTTCCCCTCTAAAGATAAATAAATAAAAAATTAAAAAATAAAAAATAAAAAAATAAATAAAAACTAACCCATGTTCTACTCCATACCAATACCCCCTAAACCTCTTCTCCATTTTTCTTCATACTACCTAACACTATTGAAAAATTTCCATGTTTTATTGATTGTTTATGGCCAGTCTATTCTGACTAGAGGGCAACCTCCCTGGTGGCAGGGATTATCATCCAGTTTGTTTACCATCGTATGTATGTCCAGCGTTTAGAATGCCTGAGCACATAATGGGCTCTCAATAAATATTTTTTTAATAAATTTGATCAATCAGTAAATGAATGAGACAAATTTTGTTGATTTTTAGTCAGAAGGGTTTTCTCCCTGATTCCATTGTATCCACAGACCTAGGCTTTTTAAGCTTCCAGATTGTAGCCTATGTTGACTAGGAATAGTGAGAGGATGGCAACAAAAAAGATACACTTACCCAGAGAGAATATTTCCCACAGCAAGACGCCAAATGACCACACGTCACTCTGGATAGTATAAACTTTGTCAAAAATGGCTTCAGGTGCCATCCACTTAAGTGGGAGTCTTGCCTAGAAAGCCAAAATGGGAGAGAGCCATGAAATAACATCCCTAACACCAACAGCCTCAAAGGGCCTGGGCTTGGGGAATAGTGCCAGTGGATCTTGAACTCACATCTCCCTTCCAGACATAGTCAGGGTCTTTGTAGATGTCTCTGGCCAAACCAAAGTCACAGATCTTCACAATGTTATTATCAGTTAGAAGGATGTTCCGAGCAGCCAAGTCCCGATGAATGCACTAAAGAAAAAGCACAAAGGTGGCTCAGAGGGTTGCCGGGCCCGGGGATGGTGCAGGCTTATGGATTCTCAGCCAGGAGAGAGGCTAGGTATTGAGTGCGGAAAGGAAAGGAATAGGAAAGTATCTCAGAAGTGCTCAGTCTCAGATAAAAGGGTTTAAGCTAAAATTCACCGAGAGACTGATGAGTTGGTCTATTTTGAAATTTGACTGAGTGGGCAGAATCTCCATTACGATGGAATGGTTCCTCCCATTTGGCTACTGCTACTGTTTGGTCCTCCAGACACTGGGATATTACCTTAGAATATAAATCTATTCTATATACTGCATTTTACTGCTAGTACCCTGGGTCACAGAGACCCTTGTTTTCCCTCACTGACACCATTGCAAAGTGCTTCTCAGATAAGGTCTAGTCAAAGGGGTTCATCATCACCAAGCCCTTATTATATGAAACGTTAAAGGGACTTATCTAAGAAAAAGGAGATCAAAACTATGAATAGTAAAAGGATAACAAACTCACAACTATCAACAACTGAACCTAAAAAAACAAAACAAAGACTAAACAAACAACTAGAACAGGAACAGAATCACAGAAATGGAGATCACATGGAGAGTTATCAGTGGGGAGGGGGAGGGAGAGACTGGGGGGAAAAGGTATAGGAAGTAAGAAGCATAATTGTTAGGCACAAAATAGGCAGGGCAAGGTCAAGAACAGTATAGGAAATGAAGAAGCCAAAGAACTTATATGTACAACCCATGGACATGAACTAAGGAGGGGAATGGTGGAGTGTAGGGGGTTTGGGGTGGAGGAGGACAAAGGGGAGAAAAAATGGGACAACTGTTAATAGCATAATCAATAAAATATACTTGCACACTCACTTTTCTGGAAGCGAGGAACTCCATGCCCTTGGCCACTTGGAAGCTATAGCAGATCAGGTCCTCCAAGGTGAGGGTGTGCTTGTAGAGATTCTTTGAGTCTAGAAAAGCAAAAAGAATGTTGGAGAAAAAGACTGGTGGTTGAAAACTTCCCCACGATTTTGTAGCGACAGCGGTAGGGAAGAACTAGAGGAAGAAAGACCTGCCTTCCACAAAAGCTTGCAAAATGCAGGCAAAGATTTTTAACAACAGGACCTTGGCATACCTTACTCTACTATGACCTCCTATGTATTTTTAAGTGATGGACATATACTCTCGTGAATCAACATGTCTTCAGGGACTGAACAGCTCATACTTTGACCATTCCCTACCCGCCATCAAAATTGAACATATTGCTTTTACAGATTTCCTTGCCAATTCTAGGTGCAAGAAAGAATCTGGAAGATGTCTATGGGATGCCAAAGGTTGGGAATTTTTGGGAAATTCCCATGATTCATGGCAACCACAATGTCTGAGTTTCTGTAATCACAATGTATGGTCACTATATACCATACTCTGCACTAGATCACTTCCCCCAATATCTGTCAATAGACGCAAAAGCTCAGAAATTCCTATGTCCTCCCTGGTGCTCTACCACCAACATATTAGGATTATAAGGGCCTTTACAGAGATTCTAGCTCAAGTGTCTACTCTCACTTCACAAGTAGAGAAAATGAAGCCTAGAGAAGAGGTGTGACTTGTCCAAGGTAACAAAGTATGTTAGTGAGAGCAATTAATAAAATCCTAATCCTCTCAGTCTCAGATCACATGATGTCCCATCATGCATTAATGCCAGACAGATATCATACACAGTTTACTTGTGACCAAGAGGACAATAAGAGTAATAGAGGCAAGAAGATCAGCGGCACCAGTAGATTCCAGTGTAAGGGAGAAAACTCAGGGAGAATAAGACACGCGTAACCTAAAGTCAATGCTTGAACCTGTCAGTCAAAACCAGGAGTGGGGGCCAACATGAAAGAAGTGGGTGGCCTGTATTCGATTCCTACTTCTCTTATTTAGCTGCACCAGATCAAGACTGAGGTGGTAAACATTGGTACAGCTATTGTAGTTGCTTGTCCTTGAAATATTCCTATACTTCTTGATAAATAGTTACTCTTATGAGCTTTTCAAGCATCCTCTCCACTACAGTTCTCCCATTCCTGCCCAGACTTGACCATGATTCAAAAACCCCAAGACCCTGCTCCAGGGCTACATCAGATATGTATTCTGATTGGTCACTATCTGTGGAAGCATTTGTTCAATATTTTAAGCTATAAAATATCTTCAGATTCATAGCCATTTCTCAATGCCTTACATATCTGTTAAATATTTTGACTATCAAGCAATGTCTGTTAAGTATATTTTATATTATACTTATAGAATATAAGTATACTTATAGAATATACTTAAAAGTGTATTATGTAATTTCATAAGTATATAAGTATATTCTATCATACTTATATAAGTTTCTTCTCTGTCAAATGGAGATAAGCATCTCTATTCATCTCACAGGACAGTCATAAAGCTCAAGGAAAGAATGCATTGGAAAATGCCTTGGAATCTGTAAAGGTCTACCAATGTGTCATTATAAACTACTTCTGTTTGTTAATGAAAGTGCAAGCTGAGGTTAGAAGCACATGTGCTCCGAGATGCATGGCAGCAGTTACAGAGGAAGAAGACACATGGTGTTCTAGCTGACCGCCCTCCACTGTGGTCTAATCTTGCTAGGTAGGCAGTGGCCTCACTCCCCCAACGCAACCCCTATCCTCAAACCTCTAGAAGCCTTGAGGGTTGGCCAGAAAACAACTCCACATACCTACTCGGTGGGTCATTGTGGCCCCCAGAAGGTGGCGGTTACTTTCTTCCTCCTCATCAGATTCACTATAGCTTTTGTCCTCAATGAAGCCAGAGCTGGTGGAACTTCCTGTGCTAGCCACGCTCTCCAGACGCTGCTTGACCAGCTGAGAGGACTTGCAGTCAGAATCATGAAAGGTCTTCATCTTTCTATCCATACTGAGCGGGACCTGAGAGTTCAAATAGATTTTCAGAGCTGGAAGAGACTTAAACATGATCCAGTCCAACCTACCCCAGGTTTCTATTGGGGAAACTGAGGCCTAGACAGGCGGAAGGGAAGTGCTCAAAGACAGGCTCGAAGAGAGCTGAGAGTCTGGCTCTTAGCCTAGAGCTCTGTTCCCTATGCTGTGATGTCACTAGACTCGTGTCTGGTGAGAGAAAACATCCCAGATCTGGCTGTCAAAGGGGCTTCCTTGCCCTGTAAATCAGCAGGTGTCCACAGGGCCAGGATAAACATGTGGTACCCCAAAGCGTATCTGAGCTCTGTGCTTAGAAATGGAGCATATGTCACACAAAGAAGACACCCTCTATTTTTAACTACCTGTACTCCCTCTATCTTTGGTAAAATTAGCGTAGAGGGAGAAGTTGGGATTGGAGTGAACAAATTGCTAGGTAGGTTCAGAAAACCAAGTCAGACGACACCCTGGGTTCTGGAGACTCTTTTCTGAATTCATTTTTAAAAATCAGGTATTTTTCTAAATAAAGCAGTGACTGACACAGTACTTTGCAGGACTTTGGGAAATAGAGACAGCTACGTCTGCCCAGAGAGATAAGGGCAGGGGCAGTGTGTCTACCTACAGAGAGCAGGAAAGTGAGAGGAGGGGAATAGCAATACTTCGGTGATATAGGCCCCTGACCATTTATTTCCTCAGAGCTGGAAATTATCCAAATGAAAGGATCTTAGAATCGCCCACTTGAAACCTATATACCTTATTAACCAATGCCACACCAATACATTCAACTTTTTAAAAAGTTCCTTTTCCCAGAGCTTCAGGTGATGCCAGAAAGCTAAGCTGATGGCTATGGAAGAATAAAGGCATGATGGGAACTGGGCTAGCAAAGTACTCTGTGTTTCATATTATAAACCGAGGGAAACACTAACCAATCACAGCATTTCAGCTCATGCCTGGAGCATGCTGAGTTTTCTGTCTAAGAGAAACTTGAGAGGTCATCAAGTTCAAGGCTGTATTGGATGTAGAAATGCATACCCTCCGTGCCCTGATCAGTGGTTCTTTGGCCTCTGTTATCCACTCTTCTCTCCTTTTTTATCATCACAAAATATTCAAATAGTATGAAAAAATGAAGAGAAATTGTAGGGATCAGTTGGGGAAACCTACCTTGGAAGCAATAAAATCTCCTCTCTTCCCTCTCAGAAAGTCGGCCAGATTTCCGTATTTGCAGAATTCTACAATGACCATCAAAGGACCTGCCCAGAGTAATGTGCACAGTCATGTTTCCAGAAATGATGATGAAGGCCAGCCGATTATTGGGCTAGCACTGTCCCGGTAATCTGTTAACCAGAAATCTAAAAATCTCAGTGGGATTTCTCTAGCTATGAACCAGTCAACTGACTACTTGTGCTGAATGCAATGGTGATTGATCCCAGAAATAGCTGGGTGATGGAAGATGTGGCAGAAGGGGGAAATGAAGGCCAGTAAAACCACAATGCACTTTACTGTGGTGTTCCCTGGACTGGCTAACATGAAGGACACAGGAACAAGGAGGACAGGGCCCCTGACCACATGCAGCTAACAGTTGCAATGACAAAGGCAAAGGAGTACCCAAGTAGCTTCATCTTTTATCCACTGACTAACCCGGACTCCTGTCTGCACCTTCCACACTGCTGCCCTACCCTCACCACCAATATCTTGCTAAAATGCATCTCTCAATTGTCATTGTGTCACTCCATGGCTTAAATCTCTCTACAGGTTTCCTGCAGCCTCTGTGCTTGCCAAAAGCACAAATTGTATGTGGCACAAAGGACTCTTTTATTTATTTGCGTAGTTTTCCTGCACCACGTTCCCAGTACACCCTCCAAGCCCCTTGCTTTGTGCCTCACATAAACTCAGAAGGGGCTCAGAAAATGTTGTTTAAAATCAAGGTAAATGAAAGGGAGAACTTTTGAATAGCAGTGCAATGCATAAACAAGTAAAGGGCTTTTGGTGTAGTTGAGAGAATAACTTGAAATCTGTAAATACATAGGGGTTGTGGAATTGCTATTGACTAGATGGGTAAAACCCCGCCTCAGGCTATGGTGCTAACCTAAGAAAATGAAAGCCAAGATGGGTAACCAAAGTAGGCTATGGACACCCTTCCCAGAATATGTTGGCATACTTCCTTAGCACCCAAATGATTTCCCTTCAACTAATGAGTCTGAGATTCCATACGACATTCAAGCTGGCAAGAATTTTAGAGATACATCCAATCCCCTTATATATGGTACAGTATTTTTTAGAACAGGGGTCAAATAACATGGGCTCTGGAGGTTCTGCACATTGCAGGGAGCCTCTAAGTTAGAGGAAGCTCACATGTGTACATTGAGACCTGTCTAAACAAGGCCCAGCTCGCCTCTGAGAGCCCTGACCCCTAGAAGGCAGTTCTGATCAGGTACAGGAGGCTCCTTACCTCCAGGTTTGGTGCAGGCACCCAGCAAGTTAACCACATTGAGGTGGTGACCAATGTGAATGAGGATCTTCAGTTCCGACATCAAAGCCTTAAACTCACTGGAAGTTGCACAATCTGTGTGAGATGAACACAGTAATACACAAAAGAATTATTTCTCCTGGGAGAGGCTACAGGAGCATAGGCGATCCCGCTTAATGCTAAAGAGTACTAGCAGAAAAGTCCTTAACACAAGGATTCCTTTCTGTGCTTTCCAAACAATATTATAAATGGGAGTGTACTATCTTCACGCGCACTAGCATACCCGCACACAGAGATTTGTGTACCAACTAACATTCTTAACTCCTTTCTCATTTTGAAAAGGACATCCTTCAGTAGCTAATTCTTTTGTGATAAACTTGTTCTGCATTATTATCCTATAAGAGGCGATTGGTGAATTGGCCAAGTTGGATTTAAGTCTTTTTTTATGTGGAGTCAGGAGCATGGACTGGATGGTATTGGGATGTTTAAATATACACGGGTTTATCTATTCAATGTTGAAACCACACAGTTTTCTGTAGCCTGACCAGTGCAGAATCCAGTCAGAATTCATTCCCAGAATATTCTGTAACATCCCTTTCCACTGCTGCAATGGAAGACCATGTAGGAAAACGGGTGGTGGTCAAATACCACTGCTGACTCATTTGGGTCTCACCAAAACTAAAGGCCCCGAGTCTTCAGTTTAGTATTTATGTGGTTGAACACAAAAGAAGAACAAATAGTGCTCGCTTCAGCAGCACATACATTAAAATTGGAACAATACAGAGAAGATTAGCATGGACCCTGTGCAGGGATGACATGCCAATTCGTGAAGCATTCCATAATTTTATAACCAGAGCCATTGAAATTAAGAACAATCTAACTATAGGTAGAGGGGACTGGGGAGGGGACAGTCGGGGGAAGGGTTTTCAGGAACTACTATAAAGGACACTTGGACAAAACCAAGGGGGAGGGTGGAAGCAAGGGAGGGAAGTGGGATTGGTTGGGGTGGCAGGGAGTGGTGGGGGTAAAATGCAGACAACTGTAAATTAACAACAATAAAGTAATTTAAAAAAAAAACAACAGCCCTGGCTGGTGTAGCTCAGTGGATTGAGCACAGGCCTGTGAACGAAAGGATTGTGGTTTGATTCCCAGTCAGGGCACATGCCTGGGTTGCAGGCCAGTTCCCAGCAGGGGACGCACAAGAGGCAACCATACGTTGATATTTCTAGCCTTCTCTCCTTCCCTTCCCCTCTAAAGATTTTTTTTAAAAAAGAACAACAAATAGATGGACACATTAGGCTCCATGATGATTGGCTCGTGTCCATGGCTGAGGTTTTTATGGGAAACATGGGTCCAATGAGGGTGGAAGTTACTTGGAGTTACCTCCCTCCACAACTTTTTTTTTAAAGACTTTATTTATTTATCTTTAGAGGGGAAGGGGGGAAGGAGAGAGGGAGAAAAGCATCAATGTATGGTTGCCTTCGTGCATCCCCTGCTGGGAACTGGCCTGCAGGGAACCGGCCTGCAACCCAGGCATGTGCCCTGACTGGGAATCGAACCGCGATTGTATGGTTCGCAGGCCCGCACTCAATCCACTGAGCTACACCAGCCAGGGCCACAACTTTAACTTGATTTTTTTAATAGTCTGGTTTCCACCTGACCCCAAGCATTCTTGCAGATATTTGCCAGTGGCCTCCAAAGAATATAAATGTTACCTTTCAGCATTTTCACTGCCACAGTTTTGCAAGTTGAAGCTCTGTCGATGCCAAAGGCACAGGCCTCCACCACTTTACCAAAGGCACCGTGACCAAGGATTTTGCCTGCAGAAATGAGAAGTGAAAAGGAGTAGGAGCCAGTGAAAGACCCCAGAGAAAAAGGGAAAGCTGGCTGCTTGCAATGGGCACCATAACTGCTAAGTCAGAATTCTCGGTGGAGGGTGGGGGGTGCTTTCTGGACCACAATTGTAAGACAACAATGGAGGGATTGAGCAAAAAGGAAAAAAGGGCTGATGGACATGGACAGCAGTGTGGTGATTGTGGGGATAGGGAGATATAAGGGGACTAAATGGTAATGGCAAAAATACAATACACATTAAATGTACAAAACAAAATTTTTCAACAATTAAATAATAAAAAAATGTTTTACTCTATTATTTCTACATAAAATTTATAAAATAAAAAATAAAATTTTATTTGTACATTAAATTTATAAATATAAAATTTATATTTATATTTAAATAAATAAAACAGTGTTTTTATTTATTTGTACATTTCAACAATTAAATAAAACAGTGTTTTACTCTATATTTCTTCAAATTGCCCTATTATTCTTCATAACACTATGATTAGATCACATTATGCTGTAATATTTAGTATGAATTCTCCCAATAGAATACAAGCTCCTTGAGGTCTGTCTTGCTTGTGGCTATTTCCCTATCCCCCTGGAAAGAGGTTTAATATCTTATAGATGACCAGCAAATATGTGTAGAATAAGTGAATAGGAGGCTACCCCATGCCAGCAATCGAGAGACAGAACCATGTGTGTTGGAGCAGATTTATGGTGGTCTGTAGATACAAGCCAGTTCTTCAGGTAAAGGTGTGAGCACACATCTGTTAAGATGTAAGTCAAGACTTCCGGTCATGTACTTTACTAGGAAGCACATTAGTTACCGGAATACTGGATATCTCTCTGTGGGCATTCATTCTTTTTTCCTTATGTAAAGGACTCGGCCTCCCCAGTCAACTTCTTTCAAAGAGACTCCATTGTTAACCAATACCTTCCATTTATGAAGTGTTTAACATTTGTAAAACACATTCCCAAATGTTACCTCACTACAACCTCACAGCAGCGACAGAATATAAACAGCACAGCTACAATGACTAATATTCTCTCTTAAGAATGAAAAAGAGCTCAGGAAAGTTAAGCAGCATGTGCTGCATAAGGTGACTCGATCAGTACTTTTAAAACAAGGGGCAGACACAAGGCCCGCAGCCCTCCACCTTGTTTTATCTGCCTGGCACCTTGTTTCTACCAGGTGGCAGTGCAGAGCTCTCACTTAACGGTTAAGGAGTAGTTACATTTACACAGTCCGAAAGTTACATTTGGCCCTTTGAAGGCCCTTCGAGGCTGCTGTGGCCCCCAGGGAAAATGAGTTCAACACCCCTGTTCTAAAACCTCCCAGTCTCATGCTGGGTGTGCAATGCCATCTGCTCGCCTTAACTCGGCTTCTGCTCGGCTTCTGTTCTCATCAGTATCATCTTTGAAACACATCACACCTTATTTAGGTTTAAGTGCTTCTCAGATTTCAAACTATTGTCCTTTTGTGAGCCTATTTCTCAGTGATTTTGTGACATGACGGTGAAAGAGAAGTAGAAGGGTGATATGATAGAGATTTCTTCTTACCTAACTGCAACCGTTCCCTAGGGAATTCCCACTTAGTGGCATCATAGGGAAGCCTATCGCACTGTTCATCAAGGGGCATCTCTTCAGGATCCATGATGATGGAGAGGTAGCCTGTTTTGATTTCCGACACGTTGGGCTGCACGAAAGAAAAGTAAAAGCATGTTACTGTGTTTTCTCGATCTTCTGAAGATGAATAGTGCCTCTAGATTTTCCCATTTTATACTGTACATTGGTTCATAAAGTACAAAACACATCACGAGCATAAATATAAAAAAAGAACACCCCATGAAAAAATTAAAACAGATATAAACCAGAAAAATAGTTAAAACAAGCATAGTAAATTAATCCCCCTATTATAAAGAACTCATAAAAATCAGTAATAAAAAGGGACACCACCCAAAACAGTAAAGCAGCCAACTCTGGGGTTATATTCTCCCCCACAAAAATAAACTAATAAGAGGAAAAAATTGGTCAGACTTAACCTTTGAATACCTTTAAACCTAGGAAAATCTTACAACAATGGGGGTAAGACTTGAGTAAATAGGAATCATCTGCTTTGTGGTAATTAGGGCTCCGTGACATTTAAAATTGCCTGCTTCTCATCCTTTACACCCCATCGTATTGGCAACATCCAGGAATATGGTAGTAAGCACGCTTAGGGCATGTTGCTAGTGCCAGAGGAAACAATATGAACCTTGTTCTAAAAATATTATGGTTATAGGTCTCAACATGCAAGGCAACTCCCTCAAAGACCAGTACAAAAACTTCTCTTGGTTTTATACAAACTGGAGCATATCCAGGGAAGGGTCAGATTCTCAGGCAGCTTTATTGCAAAGCATTTATAGGCACAAGTATTGACCATAAGAGCCCATGACAAGGCACAATACTTGGGACATTAGAATGAAATCAATTACAAAAGAAGTCTATAAAGGAGAAATTGAGACCCCCCTCCAAAATAAATGAATGAATGAATGAATGTATGTGTAAGGCATAGAGAAAACAAATAGTAAAATGGCAGAAGTGATTTCATAGCAGTCATTTCCTTAGGTATAAATGTATTCAACTTTCCAAGTATAAGCAGACATGGGTCTGGCAGGAATCCTTCACTGTGGGGGGCCACTGGGAATCCTCACTAGAGGCCCCACCCTCCTGACCTGTAGACACCGCCAATGCCCTAGCATTAAATTCACACCTCCGCCCACAAGGTAGCAAGCTCCTGGAGACAGGAAATGTGTGCTGAAAACAGCCTAGGGCCTATGGTCAAAGGAGAAAACATAATCTAGCAGGAGCACCACTTTCAAGAAAAAAAGTTTGCCAGAAGCCAGACTGGTAGATCTAAGATGAAGAGAAAACATACAAGCTTAGCAATTTTGTCATAAGAGGGAGAAAGAAGCATGAGACAGGTATATTTTTATAACATCAGTAAAGCCCCAGATACAAGCAGGAGAGCATCTCCTAATATATTTAAAGTGTGAAAAGAAGGTAGAGGGGGAGAGTATTGGCAGGGGTGGGGGTGGGGTAGGGATGGGGACAACTGTAATTGAACAATAAAATAAAATAAATAAAACTTTGCCAGCCAGGAATACTCTACCTGGAAATGTTAACCTTCAGAAATGAAGAAATAAGACTTTCCCAGACAAATAAAAGCTGAGAAAGTTCACCACCAGTACACCTATCTTGTAAAAAAAAATGTTAAAAGGAACTCTTTGAGATGAAATAAAGACACTAATTAGTTCATCAAAACATACGAAAATATACAACAAACTAGTCAAGGTAAATATACAGAAAGTTTTAGAAAGCTCTTATTCTGTTAATCAGTTATCTAAAGCATAAATGTTAAAGAACAAGATTAAACATAACAAAGCTACTATAATTTGTTAACAAGTACACCATATAAGAGCTAAAGTATACCTAACACTTTAAAAGAAGGAAATAAAAGAGTACTTTTGTGTGCAGTCAAAATTAAGTGACTAGCAATTAAATATGGACTGTTATATATCCATCAGATATTTCAAGGAAGCCTCATGGTAACTACCATATTTTTCAGACCATAACATGCACCTAGGTTTTAGAGGAAAATAGGGAAAAATATTTTGAAGCAAAAAAAAGTAGTAAAATATTCAATAATATAAAGCACACAATATTTCACCAATGTAAATGTAAGCACAACTCAACAGCAGCATTAACAACCATTATTCCTCCCAAATTTGTGGGGTGGGTGGGGCATCTTATAGTCTGAAAAATACGGTACATAGTTACCATGGTAATTACAAAATCAAAGTACATAGTAGACACACAAAAAAGAGAGAAAGGAATCAGAGCATATCACCATGGAAAATCACCAATCCACAAAGGTAGGTAAAGAGAAGAAAAAAAAAAACCAGTGGAACTACAAAATAACCAGAAACCAATGAATAAGATGGCATTAATAAGTCCTTACATATAAAATCATCACTCTAAATGTAAACGGATTGAATTGACAATCAGTACTGGAAATCTCAGGGGATCACTCTGTAAAGTCCAATATATGATTGTCTAACCACTATGCTGTACACCTGACACTAATACAAAATAATATTGAATGTAAACTTCATTTTAAAAATTAAAAAAAAAGTCAGTCTTAAGAAAAAACACAGTGGCTGGACAGTTCACCAAAATTAGACATAACTATATGCTACCTACAAGTGACTTAACTGCAGCTTTAAAAAAACACGTGTTCAAGTGAATAAATGGAAAAGCATATTTAATGCAACTGGAACGTTAAAAAAATTAAGTGTGGCTATACTTATAGCAGACAAAATAGAGTTTAAGCCAAAAATAATAACTATGTTACGGGACAGGGACCTGGCCCTGAGCGGGTCTGCCTAGGGCCAGGTGTGTGGGTTCTTGACTTCGTGTAGGAAAGACTTCACAACACGAGTCCAGGTGACTATGAGGGTACATTTACTAAAGCTGGGAACAGTGACACAAGGACGGGCTTAGCCTAGAGGAAAAAAACTAGAGAGTCCCAGGTGGGTTGCTTTAGCCCACAGGGAAGTCAGAAAGCGGGGCCTTAGGGACAGGTTCAGGGGATTAACCTGGGACTAGCTGCTGCTGCCCATTGCTCTCCTGGATGCAAGCCTCCGGGTCCCTTAGAGTTTTGGAGACGGGTGCCTGTTGGGGAGGGAGAGAGGTCAGAAGAGGAGAAAGGAACTGGCACGTGCTGCTCCCAGGAGGGAGAGTGTGTGCACTGGGTCCTTTGTCTTCAGGCTTTTATCTGTCTCTCGCCGGCGGGAACCCTAGGGGAGGACTCAGGGGAGGGTTTCAGTAGAATATTCATCAGGTCTCCAGGTGCGCCCTTTCAGGTCCATGGTCTCCACTGATTGGTCAGCGCTGGGTAAGGGAGTCCTTAGTCATTATAGCTGGTCCTAACACTACCCCCTGATTCTGTTGCTTTTCTGGACCTGGAGCTGAAATACAACTGAAGCCTTGATGTCATCTCTAGGGAGGTGACCTTCTATACCTGGCTATAAATTGCTCAGCCAGTTTGCTCAGCTCTCTGTTTCCCCATTGTACTTGTCAGCGAAGTTTCCTAACTTCTTACTATCTTGCCTCAACGACAGCAAAAGAACACTATTATATAATAATAACAACAGGGTTATTCCATCAAGAAGATTAAACAATGATAAACATCTATATACCCAAAATCAGAACACCTAATATATTAAGCAAATACCAATAGTCCTGAAGGGAGAAACGGACAACGATATCATAATGTTTAGGACATAAATACACCCTATCTCAACAAATACCCGCTAAATCACACAGAAAGTCAATAAAAAAAGGTTAGACTTGAACCATACATTAGACTGAATGGACCTAACAGACATAATAGAACATTTCAGAAGTTCCAGTTCAAGTTGTCAACGTGGAAAAACCCTGACATCACCTCCCAGCATAAGTTTCATATAAACTAATTTCCTCTGCATAAAACATGAATTAATTCATCAAAGCCTAGCTGAGTAACTCTTACTCATCAGGAGAATAAGAAATAAAAAAAAACACACATCACAAAGTGGGCAGAAGAGGATGAGACAAATCCTCACCCCTAGCAAAGTGACTCACAATCGCAAGGGAACTCAAAACCCAGAGCTGCTCCCTGAGAAGCTAATAGTTTAAAGCCCCACATTGGGCTTCCCAACTATTTAGACCTGCACCTTGGAGGCAAGATCCCAAGACACCTACCTTTGGAAGCCAGTGAGGCTTGTGTCCCTAAGATCCCAGACGCTATAGCAAACTGATAAATAGTTCTTCAATGGCTCAAGGCTCACATTCACCTACCTACAGGCCTAGCACAGAGGCGGCTGATTACAAAGCACCCGGACATTCTGTGAATAAAGCTTAAATACTGTATGATCTTACCTCTAACAGGAACCTAATCAACGAAACAAACAAACAAGCAAAATGTAACCAAAGACACTGAAACAGAACATGCTGACCATGACCAGAGGGGAGATGGCAGGAAGTTTCAGGGGAAAAGCGGAAGGCTTTGCAGGAGCAAGTGTAAAGGACACATGGATGGAAACAAGGGGGAGTGGAAATGGGAGGGAGGTGGAAAGGCCTGGGATGGGAGTTAAAGGCAGAAAACTGTACTTGAACAACCATTAAAATAAAAAAAAATCTGCCCAGAGGATGTACATTTAATTTAACATACTAACAGGGGCCTGTGGAGATGCCTTTGAGGGATGGAAGCTGCCTAGCTCCGTCCAATGAAAGCCATGCTTATGCTCTCCCTCTGCTTCACACCCGCTCAGCAGTATCTCACAGAAAGGAGTTTGTAGCCTCATTTGGCATCGTGATTTTTGTGACTGCCTTCAGGGGACAGGATTCCTTGCCTGGGCCTGGTGGCTAGCAGGGTTTACACTCATGGCTCATATAGAACATAACCAATGAAGAAAGAGTTCTTAACAGGCTACCTGCCCTAGACACAGCAAGAGACAATAGTACAAGGAATCCAGTCTTTCTGGGAAAGAGACCTATCAGCTTCTCTTTATAGCTGCAGCCTGAAGGGCAGGCTTCTTATGAACGTACCATTTTTTTTTATTGTTGTTCAAGTAGTTATCTCCATTTTTCCCCTCCCCCCTCTCCCACCCCACT